GGGGAGGCTGTGCTTGCCGAGGGGGAGGGGCTCAGCAGGCTCACCCAGGACTGGCTTGCAGCCATCAGACAGGATGAGGTCGTCCAGGCCCACGACACCCCCTGGACCCGTCTGCCCTGCCAGGAGAATCTGAGGGCACAGAGGGCTCAGGGGGTGCCCACACCCTCTGTTGTCCCCAGGTTGGCTCCCCCAGCCTCTGGCTGCCGACCCACACCTTGTACTTCATAATCGCACACACCTCCTCCCATCACCACCCCCACAGCCCTTCAGGAGGGGCCATTGGAAAGCCACCTTCCCTCGGTCTCTCCACACGCACGCTGCCCATAAACAGACCAACAAGTTTCCTGCAGACAGCCTGGAGGCCCCAACCAGCTCCCTGAGGGGCCCCCTGGGCCACCCGCCTGTCCCCCAGCGCTGCCCTTGCTGGCCTCACCCGGAAGGGGTGGTTGCTCTGGATGTCAACCCGGTCTCGGACCCAGGCGGCCCCCAGCTCCCCATGGCGTCTACGCAGCAGAACGGGCGCCTGGGGGGCACCGGGGCTCTGAGTCTGCAGGAACAGCTGGAGGCAGCTGGCCTCGGACCCGTGCAGGTAGTAATAGAAGATGAGCTGGGAAGGGACCGGGACGGTCAGGGCAGACTCTCTGGGGCCCCAGCAGCCAGGACTGGCAACACTGAGTCCCCCACCGCCTCACCGAGCAGTTGTGGGGGCCCGAGGCTTGGAACTCGGGACTGGAGAGGATGGCAGGGGCACCAGGCTCAGCCACGGACACCAGGAAATAGCCTGGAGAGAGAGGAAACGTGCTGGGTGGCGGGGTGGGCGCTGCGGCGGGCAAGGGTCCTCACGGGGCCTCACCCTGAGCGCTGTTCCGGCTGTGGTCGCGGCGAGGCCAGGCAGGGCGCTCAGGGCCACCAGCGCTATGGTTCCGGATCCAGCCCTCAGAGTGCTGCCATAGGCCCAGCCCCATCTCAAAGTCCGTGGACATGTGGTGGCCTAGGGAGGGAAGCGAGGCTCAGGCCCTGGCCTCCCTGTTGGTGCTGACTGCCCTAAGCCGTGTGACTCCGTCTCCAGATGGACACTAGCCACCCACCCACAGACGGGATGTGCCAAGGAACAGCCCCTCCCCTGTTCTCTCAAAGACCCCTGCTCACTGCAGGTGGGCGTGTCCTCATCTGAACTGTCCCCACAGTTGTCGTCCCCATCGCACAGCTGGTGGGGCTCCACGCAGGCCTTGTTTCGGCAATGGTGATGCGCCAGGAGGCAGCGCGCCTGGGGGGCTACGGTAGGGGCAGGTTCACTCATCACTCTGGCCCCGAGCCCCCGGGGGTGGTGCAGCTGGGGGAGAGGCTCAAGACCTTCTTTCTGGGCCTGGAGCAAGCAGGCTAGGAGCTCCCGCTAACCCACCATCCCCCAGGTATGTGCCCCCCGCATAGGGCCTTACTGGGCAGCCCACAGCCCGAGAAGGCTATGTCATCCAACGCCACAGCGCCCCTGTGGGTGGCATTTCGGGTGGCAGAGAAGGTCACCTGAAGAAAACAGCGTCCTTAGGATCCAAGTCAGGGCTCAGACCTTTCCTGCTACCCCCACCAACCAGACCAAACCCCAGCTCACCTGGAAGTCACCCAGGATGCGGCCTGTGGCCACCACCAGCTCCTGCCAGCCTGGGCCCCAGGGTCCTGAGCTCTGCCACAGGATCAGCGTCTCCGTGCCATGGGTCAGCTCCAGCTGCAGCTCAGCCACATCTGTAGTGGGAGGTCCTGGGGTGCTTAGGCCCCTCCGGTGCCTCCCTAGCCTGCTGGCTGTGCCCTGCCCCAGGACCCCTACCCCTAATTTGGGGCACCCTGCCAGTCTCTGCAGCAGTCCCCCTTCCTTTCCCTGTCCCTGGGCTCGGGGCACCCCACCCGGGCTGCAGGGTCCAGCTGCACACCTGCAGAGGCTGTGTGGTACCAGAGCCTCAGCTCACAGGTGGGGGCTGCCTCGTGTAGGACAGGGGAACGCAGGGCTGCGGTGGATGCCTCTTTCCCACAGTGGGTGCCAACAGCTACGTACCAGCCTGAACGGACAGAGAGGTCAGAAGATGGGGCAGGAACCAAAGAGAGGGGGTGGCATGGAGACTTCGCCTCCCCTACATCAGGCCTCACCCAGGTCAGTGCCAAGAGTGTGGTCTGAACGGAGCCCTGGGCCCTCCAGCACAGCCCCTGCCCGATCTCGGAACCATCTGTAGCCTGAGGTGCTGATGTCTCGCCAGCCACAGGAGTCCTGCTCAAAGTCGCAGGTGAAGGGGGCACCCGGGAGAGGTGAAGTCCCATGGAAACCTGGGACAGCGAGTGGTCAGGTGAGCTGCCTGTGGTGGACTAGCCCCGCCTGCTCCCTGCGCAGCCCTGGCTTACCACACTGGGTCTCATCGGAGCAGCTCCTGCAGTCACACACGAAGTTGCACATGGCCTCGCTGGGGGTCCTGCAGTGGTTGGGGACCCAGGCCCAGCCTGGGGACCCAGCTGCCACCACAGAGACAGGTAGGTGGTCTGGGGCAGGGTGATTCCCCGATCCCAGTTGGCCGGCGACTGTCCCAGATCTCAGAAACCCCTAGGACTCGAACCCCCCAGGATGTTGGCTGTCCTGCTTTGGGACCCAAGTCAGGGGGTCAAGGAAAGGGGGCTGGGTCTGCGGCTAGAGGCCCCCTGTCAAGGCCAAGCAGAGCACGTCTGGCCTGGGAGAGGCTGGCTGCATGTCAGTATTGGGGGGGGGGTGGGTCTGCATGGGACCAAGGCTCCCCCCCCACCCCAGGAGGGAACCAGAGGCCCTACCAAGAGGGTGCCTCCCAAGGGGAGGCATCATGGGTGGCCCAGGCCCCCTCGGGTTCCATCCTGGATGTGCCTCCAGGGCCCTCTCACCTTGGGCCTGGGAGAGCGGTTTTCCCTAGAGGGGCAATCCCCAGGACCTCAAGGGCTTACCCTTGGGGCCCCCACGGCCTTGCATCCAAACCCCTGGCCAGCTCTGCTTCAGGAGCAGGACCTGAGGACTCACCTACGAGCAGGACCAGGGTGGGAAGGAGGTGGCTGGACAGAGCAGAGGGTGCGAGGCCAGGAGCCATGCCTGCACTGGGCAACCTGGTAGGGACTTTGCTGGCTTATCAGCCTGTGGCCCCTATGGGCTGACTCCGCTCTAACTGGACAGCGGCCCCCCTGGCCAGCCCCTCCCCTTGCTGATGAGGTACATTCAGTTGTAAATGTCCAAAAGGGGCCCCTGCTTCAGGTCAGCCCCCACCTGCCTCGTAACTTCAGACCGAAGGTCAGGCCCGCTTGTCATGCCCACCGCCACACGGTCCTGCCTGGTGGAAGCCCCAGCTGGAGGCAGTGCAGGCAGCACAGGCTGCAGCCACTTCTCCAGGGGCCTCTGTCCCCACCTGGCTACGAGGTCAGCCTGGCTCAGGGCTACCAGCAGGAGCCCAGCTTATGCAACCCGCCATCTGTGGGCGTGGGGGTAGCAGCCAGGGACCTTGACCACGTCCATCTCCATCACTCTGTAGCTCGTCTATAAAAAAGCACTTATTTGTGGAAACTGTCCTGAGCAGCGGGGACTCAGTGTCCGGGGGCCCAAGTGTCATGGCACAGACCAGACCCCCAGTGCGGGGTTGGGAGACAGGATCTGCTCGCAATGTATGCTGTGACCTGGGAGCTTGTGTCACCTGAACCTGTTTCCTTGTTTGTAAAATGAAGTGGCAATAGCACCTGCCTGGAAGCTAGCGAGCTCACGAGTGATCGCAGCCAAAGCAGGAGGCACCCACACTCAAAGGGACAGCTGTGCCTCAGTGTCTGGCCCTGCCCTCTGTGTGAACCCCCACAGCCCTGCACCTGGAGGGGAGGAGAGGAGAGAGGCTCCAGCTCCATGTCGGAAGCCCTGCCCATTCACTTTGAGCGGGAGCCCTTGGCCGTGGGACCTGCTCTTAGAAGCAAGGAGCCACAGGCCACTTTCATGTGTGGCCTTGGTTGGCAGAGCACACAGGGACACTGGTATCAGCCAGCCACGACGGTGGTCACTGGAGCCATCCCTGCCTTGTACCGTGAGAGGGGCACCCCTGCCCTGGCCGGTCCCGAGGGACCAGGCACTAAGTCCTTGCGTAAGGGCCCGGGGGGCCTCTTCCCAGATGTCCTTGGGGATAGCAGTCTCATGGAAGAGCAATTAGGCCATAAATGGGGACAGCAGCTCCAGGGCTCCCTTATCAGACCCCAAAGGGCTGAGTATGCACTGCCACTCCCTGGGGCCCCGAAAGGTGGAGCCAAGAGGGATCCCAGAGCTGCCTCCGGCTCTCTGCCACCCACCTGCTTTAGTCAGGGGTCCAGAGGGGTGACCCAGGAGCACAGAAGCCAAGACATACAGCATCCGGGACTAGACAATGCTTTTAATTTCCGTGGGCGAGGTAAACCCAGGCACTGGGGCCAGGCTGCTGTCTGTCTCCCAGGCCTGGCCAGGGTGGTACAGTGCCAGGTTGCAGCCCAGCCCCTCAGGAGGGGCTTCAAAGGCAGAGTTCCAAATGGGTGGCTGGAGGTAGCAGGCCTCAGAGGGGCCTCAATAGCCGTCATCGGCCCAGGTGACCTCGTAGTCGGGGTACCTGGCTTTGATCTTCTCGGTGGAGACAGAGTGCTGGGCTCGACCGTATCCCTGATGAAAGAAGGCAGCTCTTACAGCCCCTGTCCTGGGTCTGGGTGGCCAGTTAGCAGGTGACAGCCAGAAGCCAGACTGGGAGGGGGGCCCCAGGGCAGAGCCATCACCCCTAACCATCCCAGGGAGCTCTCCTACGGAAAGGTGGCCACCAAGGTGAACGGACCTGGATGGCAGACCCTCTAACCCAAGGCCCGAGCTATGCTAGGTGCCAAGAGAGTGACCTTGTGTCCACTGGTGGCTTGGTGAAGGGAGAGGGAGGGGCCCGAGTTTCACCCCAATACTGACTGCCTCAAAGAGCTGAAGGGCAGCGACAGCCCAACCAGCCCTCTTGGGTAGGGCAGGACCCGGCTCAGTGCAGCTGAGGGGCAAGCAGCTGCCTCCCTGCCATCCCATGTGCTTCCTGCCCCATGTCACATGGGAAACTGGGCGTCCAGGCGCTGGACTGGGGTTCTGCAGCTGAGACAGCAATGGGTGCTTGTGAGAGCTGGTCAGGCGGCTGGGAGGGCCAGCGAGCTCACCATGGAGTAGCCGTACACGTGGATCTTCTTGTCCTGGCTCTGGTGGGAAATGCGCCCGCCTCCCATGCACTCGCAGTCATAGCCCTTCTTCTGCATCTCGCCAGACACCTGGTCGTAGATGTCGGCTGGGAGGAGGAGGAGGGCGGCTCAGCACTCAGCTGTGGCTGCCCTCGGGGCCCAAGGGGTCTGAAGCCCCAGCTCTGAGCAGCTCCTTCCTCAGGAGAGGGGGCCCTCCAAGCTGGGGAGGGGTTTAAGTGGAAGCGGGGGCGCCTGGGCAGGGGCGCCGGGACTAGGAGAGCCGGATCGGGCCACGGCAGCTCCTTGGTCTCCAGGACGCCCACTCCTTCTAGGCCCGCCTGTGATCAGACCTGACACAGGATCACCTCCCACGAGGCCCGCTCGGTCCCGCCGCACAGGGGCGGCTGACCCCGCCCACAGGCTGCTGGCCCCGCCCCTGGTCCTCCTCCCCGCCCTCACCGTGGTACTCGGCCCACTTGTAGCCGCGCACGATCTCCTTGCTCTCCCCTGCAGGGGCCCCGGCGGGAGCCGCCGCGTGGACTCGAATCAGCACGTATTTGAAGACGCCATCGGAGTCGATATCCACATCGGGGATCTGGGAAAGGTCCGCCGCCGCCATGTTCCCCGGAGCGCGCCCGCCCCAGCGCTCCGCGGCCCTTCCCCAACGCGACCCAGCGCAGGAGGCGGGCTCTGGGAGTCCGTGGCCAACCCCGCGGGGGCATGCTGGTTTGGCCCTCAGCCTCAGCCTATCGTGCCGCCGACCCGCAGCGCGGACTGGCCAATCACAACCTAGCTCCTTGCAGCCCGGACACCACGCGGGTCCTATTTAAAGCGGAACGCGAAATCTGGAGTGAATGGTGGTTAAAACCAGCGGAAGCGAAGTTTCTTTCCAGCTCGGCCACGGGCTGGTGGCAGTCCCCTTTGGGGGGGGGGGGGGTTAGGCGGTCCGTGAGGCCGGAGGAACGCTCTCTGGCTTTGACCGTCTACCCCACTGTATCCGAGAGCCTCCCTTCCCCGTCCCCCACCGTGACCGAGGGCCGCCCTCCCGTTTCCCCCACCGTGTCCGAAGGCTGGCCTCCCCCGACTCCCTACCGTGTCCGAGGACTTCCTCGCCCCGTCCCACCCGCTCCCCCGCACAATGAAGCAGCAATGGCTACATTCGAGTTGTTTTACTTGGTTCGAAAAGCGCTCGCCCTCTACAAACAGCCCCGGTCCACGGATCTTCCAGGTCGGCCGGCTCTCAGGCGTGGGGGGCAAGCGGGGCGCAGGGCCGAGGCGGGCGCGCAGGCGTGTGGGGGAGGGGGGTACAGGGGGCACAGTCGGGGGGCGAGAACCGGAAATGGAGGCGTTCACAATTTAATTAAGTTGATGCCCACTACCGGCCTCAACTGGTGGCTGGGAGCTTCAGGAGGGCCTTTGCGGGCGCCCAGCTTCACCCCGTCTCCGGGTCACTCGTCCTCCATGGAGTCCGGGCCGGGGCTAGATACACCCCGGGGAAGGGCGGGGGCCGAGGGTCACCCGAGCGTGCGCTCCGGAGGGCCGGAGCTGGGCCGCTAGCCTCGCGTTTCCAGCTCGCAGCACAGGGCACTGCCAGAGCAAGGGCGCGCGGGGGCAGCTGGTGCAATGGCTCCCCCAACCCCTCGGGTGTACCCCCGCCCTGGCCAACTAATTCTTTTCCGCACCTGCTCCCACCACGCTTTTCCCTGTCCCACTCCCAACTGGGAAGCCCCTCGGTCGCCCTATCTGCTTCCTGCCTCACTGTGAGGTTAGGGGCCTGCGCTGCCGTTTGCAGCCCGGCTCTGCCCTGGCACCCGCCGAGGCCCATCCTGTAGGGTGTGGGCAGGAGCTGGACTCACGCCCAGCCAGATTTCAGCACTGGGCTGGCGCCTGGCCAGCGTCCCCACACATCCTCTTTTCCCCCTTCCCGGGTCCACCTCCCTTCTGGCTGGGTATCTTTGCGCGTGGGCTGAAGACCTAGTACTCCCGTACTGCCTCTTACTCCAGCCCTTTCTGCAGGCCCAGGCCAGGGTGGCCTGTGGTGAGGGGAGGCAGGCGGGCAGCAACGAAAAACGTGCGGGCTCGGGGGCCGGCTATACCCTCTCCAGCCAGGGCTGGGGTCAGCGGAACGCAGTGCGCACCACCAGGACGCGCTGGGGACACGGACACACCGAGACCAATCAGGGTGTTCTCCAAAGAGGAAAAAAGGCGTCTGAGCTGGACGCATCCCAGACTACAGGAGCTGAGTGGGGGCGTGTTAAAAGGGACGGGGACTAGTCTTTGGTCAATTCGGGCCCTTGGACCCGGGCAAGCCAGGGTTGGAGCGGTTCCAGGGAGGCCCTGCAGACGACAGGGGACGGACGAACCGGATCTGCGCGGTGGGGTCTGCAGTAGTGAACCCCTCCGCTTGATGGCAGGGCCGGACGGTCCTCAGGCCCACCCCGCCTCCCAGCGGGGAGCACCAAGCGGCTAAGGACCGGACTCTGGGTAGGACCGAGGGAGAGCTGGCGAAGTGGGAGCCGGGCTGGACTAATAGGGAGGGGTCGCAGTGGGGGAGGAGGGAAAGGCAGGGCCTGTGGAGAACACAATGGGGTAGGACCTGGGCGGAGCTCATGGCGAACAGGGCAGGGACTGGACGAATTTGAGGAGGGGCTTGGGAGAAGCAGGGGCGGGGTCTGAGCAAATCCTAGGTGGACTGGGCCGGGCCTGAGAAGGTTGGGCGGGGCGTGGGCCCGTCTCATTGGAGCCTGAATGGACTGAGCAGGTCCTGAATGGGCTCGGCAGGGCTCGGAGCATCCCTGGGTGGGTTGGGCGGGGCCTGAGTGACTTGGGCGGGGCTCAGGGCGGCCCTAGGTAGACTGGGCGGGGCTGAGAACGCTGGGCGGGTCCTGCGTGGATTGGACCGGGCCCTGGCGCGCCCTCGCGGTTCACATGATGTCGTCGAGCAGGTTGGCGCTGGCCACCCAGTCGAGTGCGCGAGGCTCGGAAGCGGCCATGATCATGCACATGAAAGGGCGGCCTGTGCGCCTGTCAGTGGGGTAGATGGTGGTGGGTGTGAAGCGCCGGTTGGCCTCGACGAACTCGCAGAGCTGCTCGTAGACGCGCGGAAACTCGTGGCGCAGGAAGACGCCGCGCAGCCGCAGCTCGCGCTGGATGTGGATGAAGGCCACCTCTCGCGCGCGCCGACCCGCCTCGCCTTCCTGGTCCAGGCCCGCCGTGCCCGGCGGGGGCGTCAGGATCAGCGTTTCCATTTCGGGTTCGCGTCCCCGGGCTGGGGGGGGCCGCGCCGGGCTGCCCGCCGCCAGCGCCACCTTGGCGAACTTTCGCACCGTGGGCCCAGGACTGCGCGGTGCGGGTGCGGGCCGGCCGGGGGGCGGGGCACCGGGACCTACGGCCACCGACACACTGAGCAGGAAGCACTCGGCCGGCTCGTACAGGCGCCCGGCCGCCGCCAGCTCACGCGCGTAGCTGCCCAGGGGTGCCGCGTGCGTGGCCAGCTCGCGCAGCGACAGGTAGGTGGGCGACAGCAGCAGTCCCTCGAGGCCGAAGCGCAGGAAGTTGTCCGCGGAGCCAGGGCTCGGGAAACCCAGAAAGAGCACACCACGGCCGCGCGACAAGAAGCCGACACGCGCGATGCGAGAGAAGGCGCGGTGCACTGGGCTGCTGTCGCGGCAGAACTGCAGCACGTGGCGGCACACGCTGCTCACGCGGCCATACACGCAGCGCGCCTTGTGTGTGTCCCAGTCCTCGCGGCGGCACAGGCGCGAGCAGTAGTAGGTGTAGCAGCTGTGGCAGGATTTGAAGTATAGGCAGGCGTTGAACATGGTCTCAGTGCGCCGGCAGCGCGCGTTGGAACACGTCATCAGGTCGTCCTCATCCGCGCTGGGCTCCGGGGACGCGTCGGCCGCCTGGCCCGGGCCTACAGGCTCCTCGGCGCTACCCGCCGAGGCGGGTGGTGAACGGGGCGCCAGCGCGGGGGCCCCGGGGCCCGCCGGCCGAGACTCCAGCAGGCGGCGAAGCCGGCGGCCCAGGCCGTTGGCCGCCGGCTCAGGAACTTGACCGGCAGGGGGCCTCGAGTCGATCACCAGGTCAGTGATGAGCTCGTCTAGCTGCTCGAGGCTGCGCTGGCGGCCAGAGGTGGGACCATCGTGGGCGGCAGTCGGGGGCGGCCCCGCGCGGCCCCCAGCCAGCTCCCAGCCCCTGGCAGTCGGGCGCTCGGCGGCGCGCAAATCATTGTCGGTGATGGTGATCTCGGGAGTCACGTACCAATTGCGGCCCGGGCCCTCGCCCGGGCGGCCCTTCTCCGACAGCGAAGTCTCAGACAGTGACAGCGCCGCGTAGCGTCTGGGCGAGGTGGACAGGTTCACGACGATGGGTGGGCGCCGACCTTCCGGGGAAGCGCCTTGCAGCTCCCGCGCCTCGCGCCCTAGCAGATTCTCATAGCTGCGGCCGCGGCCCAGGGGATCCTCGCGGCGTGGCCCGGGCGCCAGGATGTTGTCCCAGGAGCGCGAGTAGTGGCGGCTGTCGGTCGCCAGCCGGGGCGGGCTGGTGCCGGTGCCGCCGTGCCAGGAGGCGAGCAACGGCCCGTGGTCCGGGGGAGGCGCCACCTGCAGGGTTCGGTAAGGCCGCGGGCCCCAGTCGCCCCAGGCCTGGCTGCTACGTGGGTGTGGGTAAGTTCGCGTCAGAGTGTCGCGGTCGCGGTACCATCCAAAGTCCTCTGTGTAAAAGGATCGGGCAGCGGGGTGGGCCTGGCGCTCCTCGGGCGGATAGCGGGGGCCCCAGGGTGGGCCGTAGGCTCGGAGTGCCTCCCCATAGTAGGAACGGGAAGGCGGTTCCTGAACCGGGAAGGTGCGCACTTCCCCTGCATAGTAGCCGCCCCCGTGCCTTGGACTGGGGCCGGGAGGCTCCTCGGACGGGAAGGGCCTGGGGTAGTAGCTGTTGAAGTGAGGACCCGGGCTGGTTGTGAAGCCGCTGGGGTGGCCCTCAGGCTCCTCGGTGTAGAAGAATTGGGTGGGGCCTGGCGGGGTGGTGAAGGGCAGACTTCGGCGCTCCGAGTAGTCCCGGGGCCCAGGTAGGGGCCCGTCGCAATACAGCGCACGGGGGTCCACGCAGTAAGAGTCACTGGGAGTGGGGGTGCGCGACAGCGCCATATGGCGAGGTCCGGGCACTGTGAGGCCGTAGAGCTGTGGGGCTGCTCTGGCCCAGGATGTGGTCTCGGCGGGTCCGCAGGGCCGCGAGCCCCGGACGGCATGCTGCAGGACCGCATCGTCGGGCTTGATGTCCAGGCGGCAGCGGACGTGGGGGGCGGGCCCGGTGGGCGGCTCAGGAGGCGCGCATTGGCCGGCGGCGGCGCATAGGGGCGCGATGCGGCCTGGGCCGCCCCGCTGCGGCTGCAGCTTGATGGGGTGCAGCTCGTTGGCGAGCGCACGCAGCGAGGGGTACGCAGGCTCGCGGCGTGGGGACCCCTCGGCCCGCGCCGCTCGTTGGACTTCCCGGCCTCGGCGCGGCAGTACTGGCGGCGAGGCGGGCGCGGGCGCCAGGCCTGGGGGCGCGCGGGGCGCACTCTTGGAGCGGGCGCGGCGCCGGGTTTCGCCATCACGGGGCCGGGTGCGGGGCGCAGGGGGCTCTGGGGGCGGTGGCTCAGGGAGGGCCTCCATGGCTGCCCCGTCCAGCACCTCCAGGAAGTCGAAGCTGCGGCAGTGGCGCTTGTTGAAAGGCGGGGGCGCAGCAGGCCGGGCCACGGAGCGCTCACATGGCGGTCGCCTCGACGCGGGCCCCGGGGCCGCCACCTTGATGTCTTGGTACACGGTCGACACCAACAGGTCTGGTGGGTCCGTGCGGGTCATCTTAAAAGAGGTCCCCAGGCTGGCAGCTGCAGCTCACTAGGCCTTGTGGGGCTTTCGCCCTGGGGGGAGACACGGGTCAGGGCGGCCCCTTCGCATCGCAGGCCCGGCTACACACACGCGCTGGCGCGACTTACCTGGGGTGCAGGGGGTGGAGCAGCCCTGGTTTTGGGCCTTGGATGAGGCCGCAGGCACTTGCTCCATGCTGGCGTGGAAAGCACCTGCAGGAGGAACCCAGTTGTGCAGCCACTCAGGTCCTTTCCCCACGCCACCATCTTTGGGCCACCTTCTGCTGGGATGGAGCTGGGATGGGTCAGCTAGAAAGGTGATGCCATTGCTGTGGTTCCTGAGCTCCTGGCCCCAATAGGGCCCGCTGGGCAGGCTTGGTTAGACCCCCTTTCCTGGGACAGGACAGGGTAGGAAGAGTAGGGGTGTGGTCCTAGAACCTCCCCTGGTGCCCACTGGCTTGAATGACGGTGAGCTTATTTGGGGCATCACATACAGACAACTTCTTTATGGCTGTTGGCTCCACAAAACCGGGGGTGACAGAAGCCCCCTCCTAGGGTCCCATGCAGAGAGAGCCCTCCCCTGGCCCTAGCCTTAGCCTACTCTGCACAGTCACTGAGTCTCCCACCCCACCTGCTGACCAGGCTGGACATGGGATCCCTCCCCTGGTGCCACTGCACTGGGGACAGCCCTCTGTGCCAAGCCCCAGTGGGCCCTGAGGTGGCCCCATTAGGTCTGGCCCCTAGGCTGATGAACTGGCACATCCCACCGTTGACACTTACTATGGCCCAGGCCAAAATAATGTCCCCAAAGAGCATACTGGGCCCTAAAGCCCCCTTTCCTCTGCAGAGACCTGACTCCAGCTATCTTGGTGGGTTGAAACCCACCAAGCTTGTTGGGGTTACATGACAAGGCCTGGAAAGTGACCCACTAGCTTTGCAGCCTGCCCACTGCAAGACCACATGGGTGTGTGAGAGCCATGGTCACGGTGGCCCTTTTCCCCTGAGTAGAGCACCTGGCCAGGAGGCCTGCCCGGGAGGAGGCAGGGTGGTGGGCGGCTACAGCCCTTCCCCCCTTCTAAGGAGCGGTCCTCCCCCAGCAGCTCTGGAAGGCTCCATGGAAACCTGAGGTTCCAGGCCCCTCCGATGCTCGTTATGTTGGGATCCACCCCTCTGCACCAGGCTCACAGACTTGGACCACCTGCCCCTCTGTGGTGCCAAGGCCTGGACAGGCTGTGGAGGGGCTCAGACCGTGCTGACAGGGCCCCACCTCTTCACACAGCCTGGGGGCACATGCCCCAGGGTGAGCTGGGAAAGTGGGGGGTGGGCTCTCATCTGGAAGGATCTCTGGTCCGGTAGACCCTCTGTGTCCCACGTGTGTAAGAGACTCCCCCCCCCCAGCAGGGCTGCTCTTCTGGGTCAGGGCCACCAAAGCCCAGTGCCTGTCCCCATCCCAGCTTCACGTCCACCCCAACTCTCCCTGGTTCGCCGTTTGCCCCCCTTCCATTCATCTTAAGCTCAAAGCAAGGCCGGAATTAGGGGCCATATGACAGGGTGAGACTCCGCCCCAGGGAGGTGACAGCCTGGCCTTGCCGCTGCAGTGGTGAGGGAGACACCCCACCCCATGGGAATAGGGGTGGTCTGCCCCGCTTCGGTCCTAGGCCTAAGAGCTTCGCGGGCGACCCTCCCCACCGCGCAGCCTGGCTCCGGTCCCGGGCCCAGAGCGCCCCTCGCGGGACCTGCCGGAGTCGGCCAGGAGCGGGACCCCCCATCTTGTGGGCGCCCCATCCAAGACATGGAGCGCGGGGCAGCGACCCCCGACCCCTTACCTGGGCGCTGCTCCCCCGTGAAACCCAATGGGCTGCGCAGGCCCACACCCGCCCGTCGTCCCCCGCTCCACCGCGTCCTGGGCGCATCCGCGCCGCGTCCTCGGCACCGGCAGAAGCTTCGAGGCAGCGGCGCGGAGGCCGACCGGCCGCTCAGTTCCGCCCCCGATGGCCGCCGGTGGTGTTGCATTTAAAGGGGCCGCGCCGTGGGCCTGGGACCCGCGTGGCCCGCTAGCTCCGCATTGGGGCTGTGCTGGGCGCTGCGTGACGAGCCCTCCCGCACCAGTAAGGGTGAGGTCTAACAGACCTGGGGTCTAACCAGGGAACCCGCACCCAGGGAGCAGCCTACCAGCCTTGCCAGCCTCTACCTGGTGTTCTGGAGGACACCTCCCCAGGGCAGCTGGTGGCCCAGCAGGGTGTGGGAGCAGAGCTCTGGAGGAGCCCCAAGTCCTGGCCGGGGCTGTGGACAGCTCCCAGAATGCACACCTTGGGTTGAGCCCAGGCAGGACCAGATGGGCTGCTCCCTGCCCTGCTGACTCTGTGCTGCACTTGGAAGCACCAAACTCTGCAGGTACCTGCGGCCATATGGCCCCATGCCCAAGTGGGCCCTGAAGCCTCCTGTCCCCAGGATGCCCAGCCTCTTCCAGGCGAGGACACACTCCTTGCTTCCCCCCTCTTCTCCCCCATTGTGTCTAGGCAGGCAGGGGCTGTCCCTGCTCTGGGCAGATCTGCAGGTGGGCCACTCATAAGCCACATGGTGACACCCTCTCCAGTCCTGCCAGTTCCTCCCAAACAAGATGCTGAGCCAGGGACCGTCTAACTTGGCAGAGGGTGCGTCATGGACACCCTTGGCGCCAAAGAGCAGGACCTGCCTATTGTGGGCTCGTTAGATGTGGGGCCCAGGGCAAGTCTACTTCATATTGGCCTTGTCCCGTCTGTGGACGCCATAAGGATGGCTGACGTCACAGGCTGTGGGCTAAAGGAAGTCCCTACATATCAGCTTGATGCCGGTCCCCCAGCACCTGCTGTCCCACTCCCCCCCCCAAAAAAAAAACCAACCACTCTAGGCACAGGGATTGGGGAGCGCAGGCTTTCTGGGACTGGGAAGCTAAGGCCCAGCCACCATCCTCCACCTGGTGCACAGCCTGCCCAGCCCTGGAAGGAGGGGCAGCTCCAGTACCAAAGCTGTTCTCATGGTAACAGTGGGTCGTGGGAAGAGCCGGGTGCTGCAGGCCGCTGGTGGAGGGGGCAGGGGCTGAAGGTGACTGTCGGGAGGGAACAGGGAGGTAGCTGGGACAGGACAGGGGCTCTGGGAAGCCAGCGGGGCACAGGCACACGCCTGCCCTCAGAGGGCTGCACAGCCTGAGGTATTCCTGGAAGCAACTGTCCATCCTTGGCCTAGGTGGCATGGGACAGGCACGCTGGACAGTGGCCATGCCAGGCCAGCCTCCAAAGATGTCTGGCCAGTGGCGCTGGAAGGCCTCCTACCCCAGGAGGCAGCCTCCCTTCTGGGGAAAAACAACTCTTCGGCCCAAATGCAAGGCGCTCAGGCCTTTGCCACCAAGCCCCAGCGACCAGGGGCGGAGGGAGCCGGCAGAAGCACACGCAGACACGCGGTAAAACAGGAGAGCTTTATGGGTGGAGTGGAGTGGAAGAAGAAAAAGGAAATGAGTGAGGTGCAGCGCCGGACACCGGCCTGCGAGACGCGCCCGCGATGCCCGGCGCGGGCAGCCTGCGCCCCAGGACCACGAGGGCGGGCGCTCCGCAGCCCCGTGGCGCCGCGGCAGGAAGCGGAGCGCGCCCGCATGCGGTGGGCTGCGGCCGGCGGGGGCCGACGAGGGCGCCCCGCCCCTGTAAACAGCCTCGCGGGCCTCCCGGCCTGTCCCTCCCTGAGAAGCGCTGGGGGCCCACCGCCCCGCTCCCTGTAGGGCGGGCCCGGCACCCCCAGCAAGCAGAGCGGGCGCGCGGACCCCGCCCCGGCCTAGAGCTCCTCGTAGTCCCCGCCCCCACGGTGGCCGCCCGGGGCCCCGCCGCCCAGGAAGGCCTCCAGCTCGTCCAGCGCCGAGCGCGGGCCTCGCGGCCGCCGCCGCCGCCGGTCCTCCCGGCCGTCGTCCTTGTCCTTGTCCTTCTTGTGCTTGGTCCGCCTCTTTGCAGCCTTCTCTTCCTCCTGGGGGTGCAGCGCGGCGTCACAGGGGCGCCCGGAGTCAGAGCCCACCCGAGACCCGCGCGGCGCCGGGAGGCGGGTACCTCTCGGCCTTTCTTCTTCTTTCTCTTCTCCTCCTTGGAGGGAGGCCTGCCCTCCTTATCTGCACAGAGGAGGCAGCGTCAGCTCCCCACGTGGCTCCCTGCCAGCGTGGGAGGCGGATGCTCGGTCTCGGCCAGGTTCCGGTGGGGGCGCTGCCCGCGGGGGCGCTCCAAGAGCCCACACCCACAGCCCCGAGCCTCGGTCCTGGTGACACGGCTGACCTGCTGGCCGCCCTAGTGTGCTCACTGACATGCCAACGCTTCAACACCAGGACGAGCCTGGGAGGACAGTTTCCTCCCCATTCTGGGGACCGGGAGTTTCTGGGCTATGTCCCAGGTGACGCTGCTGGCTGGGGCAGAGCTGGGCTCACATGACACAGTGTGGGACGGGGCCAGGGAGCTGAGGAGCCAGCGCCACAGACCCACGAGTGCGCATCAGGCCTGGAGACCACACCAGCTGCTACGGTCAAGGCCGGGCTTCTCAGGCCCC